GTAATGTTAAAGGAGAAGATTTGTAAAAGAAACCTTTCTTTGGATTGAGCAGGCTTTGATAATGTATTAGAATCGGTAGAAAGGTTACGCGAGTGCTGTTGGCCATTAGATCCACTGCTACTGCCACTGTGACTGTTGCTGGACACCACGGGGCATCCGAACAGGCGAGGAGCATTCTTCAGCAGCGTTTCAACTATCTGAACAAAGAGCATGATAATAACATTCGCAAAATTACGAAAATGGTGAAACCCGTCCCGAGGGTAGAAAGCTTGGCTGGCCTGGGCGAGAACCGATTCGGGAAAACTCCCAGATGCGCATGTTATGCATGCCACTTGTCACTACCCCACTTCCACGTGAAAAATACATCGGTAGGTGACAACATTATCGTAATTCGCCGCGCGGGTGTCGCGTGCGATGTCGCGCCCACAAATGGCGATGGTTCCAAATTGTAGATGGCGACAACAGGCAATGTAGAACCGAAAATAGTCATGAATGCCTACAGTTTCGTAGCCCTCGTTAAATTCGATGCTCCAATCGACAGGGATAACACGAGTTAAAAACGCCGCGCCCATCGATGCGCGCGGCGAAGCGACAATTCACGATTCTCCTGCCCGTTCACTCGCTTACAGAAAGCAAAGCACTCGCGATTTTCAGACTGTACACAACAATAAATACACAACTCTATTCAAATTTCCATTCAAATTTAAAGAAAAGGTTATGAACTGGTATTAGATTACCTTAGTCCCTACAGCATTATTTCCGTCAATATCGCCACCCAGCAAATTTGGACCGAACACTATCGCAAGATTGCTACAATTCATGCTGCAAAAGAAAGAAATTCTGAAGCAAGATATTATTTCCGGGACTGAAAAATGAGGATGAACACTTACGCTGTCTGCTCTTGATGCTGCAGCATTTCAGAGAGAAAATTGATGAGGTAGGTGAGGTTGTGTCGATGACATGCCGGCAGTTCGCCTATACACCGCTCAAACGCCTGCAGCTTCGCTTCGTCCTCCAGCCTGAATGGCACGGCACGCTCAATCATGGAATCAAGCCAAAAAACTTTCTTTGAAAGCAAGAACATCTCTAAAAAGAGTGATTCGCCACTCTAAACAAGCGTTCAAAGCGTTACCTCGAGGCGTTCACCCAGTCGTTGTGGAGTCGATGAGTGAGAAGTGGATCAGGCAGTTCTCTCAAGTAACTCTTCAAAACGCTACAAACTGAGTGAGGATCGAGGGAATATGCACGCTCATCGCTCTGAAATCATACAGTCAATATATACCCCTAGGAAAAAGAACGGCGCGACTTACGTCGATCTGACCGGCATCGAAGGCTGCTTTCATGCGCCGAATTTTTGTATTGTTACCATTAACTCGGAACAATCCTCAAATTAGCAATTTTACATAAACAGTTGCTTCATAAAATAGTAAATGTAAGACGAAGCGTGGTGTTCGAAAACAGTAACTACTTCTCCAACAGCAATGAAGAAAACCACTGCGCAATAAGGCAGATAATGGAAAGTAAAGAAAACGAGGATAAAATCGTTTTCATGAACAGCGTACTCAAGGTAAGATTCAAAAAATAGGAGGGTGTGAAATGAGTCAACCTTTCTCGTTGAATCCGCTTGTTCTCAACATCGTACAACATTTTTCCAAAACCAAAGCAACACGACCCTGAGTATGACGAAGATGCTCACTCAAATCAACGCCGAATACTGGACGAGGACGTGCATTGTCTGGAATTTTTGCATTTGTGCCAGAGGTCAAACCACTTCTGGGCCGTATGCTATAGTTCCCCTCCAGGGGAGATATCCCCCGGTAAACCTCCACTCTCTGCCGTTTTCTCTACTGATGCCCCTCGTCTCTCTGGCTCTCGCCGCTCTGCATCCATACTCTTCTGGCGCATGCTCTGTGCGAATATAGTGCAGCGCAGAGTATAATCGATATTCTTCGCTCTACCCAAGCGCATATCGTTGGGGCACTAGCATATGGTCCCTGTACAACAATATATCGTATGATGTGACCCCTGCATGAAACAGGCACAAACAAACACAGACAAACTGTACACTCACTTCCGAAAACGGTCCTTTTCATGTACGAGATGAATGGATCGGCAGCTGCGTAGCGTGCCACTTTCTCCGCTCAAAAGAGGGCGGCAACGAGATTGGAAGACAGTGATGCCCAGGTCCCGTCTGCACGGTCCGCCCGCGCTATCCATGTGCAGCACTTGCGCTAACACATGGATTCCGCAGCGAAACACGAACTCAGCGGTAGAGATTAATTGGAAGTCAGAGGGCGTGAAGAAGTAGCTCGTCTGGATGCGGTTAGGCATGGAGCTGGTCGTGCTGCAGCGCGGGGCGGAGTATGGAGACGGAGCACGGATATCACGACCCTCCAGGTCCACTCCCGTGCGCTTTTGATCGGAGAAAGTGGCTCGCCACTGCAGCTGTGAACCCAATCTTCTCGCAAACCGCAACGACCATGATACACGAAAATGAGTGTAGAGTTTTTTCTTTAATTCAATTCGGATAAATTTACACAACTTACCAATGTCACGCCGGATTTCGGGCAGAACCATCTCAAGCGTACGCATTGCAACGCGGTGATATTCAAGTTGTTCTTCCAGTAGGGCAGTGAAAACCTGAATTCTGACACTCACTCTCGTAACGTTCACACTTCACTACATTAGCGAGTCAGCCGCCGCGATCGCAGCGATCACTTATACGGTCGTAGCTATTCCAGTTTCACGACCAACTTTATTTTGTGATTTTCGACATTCAGAAGTTATGAGCTAGGAACGGATGGAGGCGAACAATGGGGAAAATAAAGTAGGATAGCAGCTGAACGATGTAGCGGACTCACAAACAGTAAAGTAGGATATTTTGTTAAAGAGCACCCAACAAACGAGGGCGAGCCAAGGGAATAGGACTCTTGTTTGAGCCTGGGAGGGGAATAATTCTCTTGAAAAGCCCAAACCTCTTTTTGCGCAAAGGAATTAGTTCATGCCCCATCTTCCTGACCCATCACGCTAGTGATCATATGCAAAATGCGCAGGGAAACACTATTGAGCCGATACAAGCAAGGCGCCCCATAGCAAGTAAGTGGACGGAAACTAAATGTGCAGGAACTTGGATTCGTCGTCCTAACTATTTCTTGCTTAGGCTGCGTCGATACTTTGCGACTGGGCCTTTTGGGAAAGTCGGCGCCCCAAAATCGATTCTCCCAAAACGCTCGCTACCTGCGCCGATCGATACCTACACTACCCTTTTCCATCAAAACGCCGATTTACTAACAAGTAGATTCGCTCAAAGCGCTGTGCAAAATTCTCCCGAAACGCCAAATCGCAAAGTACGTACGCAACCTCAGTGATATTTCGAAGATGGACCGTTTTTGAAAGAGCGGTCTTACCTTGGCGATTTCCTGTTCCTTAGCAGCTAATGAATACACGTCCGTGATGGTGTTATCCTAGAACTTCAGCAAATAAATAATGAAGTCAGCAAATGTATTTACAAGTAGAAGTATCAACTATAAACAGACGATATCAATAAAACTGTAGAAAGGACGCGTACTTTCTGATTCTCAAGCTTTAATTGAGAAGCATCCAAGGTGTCTTGAAGCTGGACAATATTGCTACTGGTACTGTCTGCTTTCTCCAGTGCCTTCTTAGCGATATCGACATCTGAAAAATCACAAAGATTGCAATACAGAAGTGACGAAACAATATCCGGCAACGGAAAACTCACTGATGTCTATGAGAGAGTGAGGCAGAGTTCATACTTTGCGGCAGCGTCCACCAGCGTTCCAAGCGTCCGGCAACGTCAGCGATTAGGAAAATGATATCGATATAGCGTCTACCAGCGTCCACCAGCGCCTCGAGGGTCACAGAAGTATAGGTATCGATCTAACGTCTGCCAATGTCTACCAGCATCCAGGAGTGGAGAGTATGGCGCGATAGGAGGGTAGTAAACAGCTCGTTCCCTCCACCGCGTACTCTCTATCAGCAGTCTGCCACCCTACTATCTCTCCTACTCTCTACCAGCAGTCTGCTACCCTCCTATCTCCCCATACTTTACTAGCTGTCTGCTATCGCCGACGCTGGTAGACGATGCTGCACAATGGCAGACGCTGGCGGACCCTAGATCGATATCTATACTTTCCTAGTCGCTGACGCTGTTGATGGAGGACGCTGCCGCCAAGTATGAACACAGCCTGAGATGTTGTTGCACTGACTATGTCATCTGAGAACATGTTATTTCTCACGAAGAGGGCGCAAACATAAGGCTTGGTCTCTCCCGAGGCCTATGGCACCCAAACCAGTATGAACGTAGTCGACTCTACTGAATATAGAGTGCGACAACCAGTTCTGCTGTATTAGGCAACAACGGATGTCATAGATGACAAATCGGATGTCACCTAGCCTTCGCACTATTGGATACATTTCGCGGTCTGCGCTCAGCCCCAAAATATTGGACCAAATCATAAATACTGGACCAAACCTGTCATACAGCCGAGCAGAAGAACTACCCATGTATTATCTTTTCCTTTTTCAGCGTTTACTACTAACACTGAGCAGTAGCACCGTTGCAATGTGCTGACGATGGATCACACTGGTAAATGGGGGACAGAGAGGTGTCGTCATGTTGGGGAAATAGTTGTGTCTCCCAAAAAGTAACTGGTAGTATAGAAAAATGTAATCTAACCACAAAACACATCTTATAGCGGACGAAAAGTTCGTAGTTAGGTTGGAGAGTGATTCTCCAACGCTAACACCGCTCATTTTAGAGCACGAGATTTAGAGATCGATGAGAACTCGCAAATGCAACATCTACTCGGTTCAATGTGGTCTTAGCTACAGAAAAAGAAACATTTAAACATCGCTGCGATGAAGATACTAATCAGTTACCTGTAAATGCATTGCTCAAACGCTCTCGGCTTTTACATAAAGCTTTCTCCATCTCTTGAAATTGAACCAAATCATCAAGGACCCGTTTTTCGATCATCATGTCATGCTTCACCTGTAACAAAACTGATTCACAGGCAGTATCTCTTCATGTAATTCAGAGAATACGTGATGTTTGTAAAGTTACAGTACAGTTGTCTGTGCGTCTTCGTTGGGCTGCGTTCATAGTCCCGACGGAATACCAGAGTAACAGGAGTGAGTGATTCGACATTCTACGAGAAATCGCACCAAAGGAAAGTTTATGTATTGACCTGGCCATTTAGGAGAATGCGTGCCAAAGGAGTGGATGGGTATCGATCGAGGACGATCGCTAGGGCAGCGTTCAGACGTCGCGATGACGCGCTGTAATGCGCCGTAACGCGCGTCAACTGGCTGTAACGCGATACTTATTGCAACAACGCTCCAATTCTATAGACGCGAACGCAGCCGCAGACAGGAATCGATCGGCGTCGATTGCGCATCGAGAGAGTATCGGGGAGCTGAGTGGTGTGCCTTGCCTAAGCATGCAGTCTAGTATCGATCTGCATTGGACGCTAGGGCGACGCTGAACGGTTCCAGTTGCGTCTGCGAATGCGTCTATAGAACTGGAGCGCCGTTGCCACTGTAGCGCGTAGCAGCGCGTTAAAGCGCTTCAACGCGCGTGAGCGAAATCTGGGCGCTCCTTACTGAATCGACGAGAGAATGTGTAATCCCTCAACCGTCGAATCGCACTACTCTTCTGAGTCGTTGGCGACCGGAGTTAATCGATAGCCATCCAGTCTCTTAGGCGCTTTTCCCCAAAACGCCGTATCACCAACCCTCCCTTGGCTAAGTATGACACATTCTTAGGCATCGATTCACCCAAAGTTATGCCATGCGCTCCAAACTTATTACGACGACCTTAGGCACGAAGAAATAGGAGTTAATGAGAACAATTTGAAATCCTCCTTTCTCCCTACTACAACGTTATATCAAAACTGGTCAGTACAAAATGATACTTTGTGGCTTTAGCCGACAATGAGTCAAACCACTGAAGCTTTTGAAAGCCTTATTCGTTTCATTTAAGCCATTCTTTCTTCCCCTTCCTACTGAAGAAGCTCTGCTGATCCTTGCTAAGGATTACTCCTACTAATA